TATATATATATATACATACACTGTATATTAGGCAGCAAGTGAACATTTTGTCCCTAAGTTTGTTGCCCATTGTGTGTTCAAAGCACAAACAATGGGCAATCGTAAGAATTTTAATGACTGTGAAAAGGGACAAATTGTGATGCCTAGACGTCAGAGGAACTCCAAAACTTGTGGGATGTTCCCCTCTGCAGTGATCAGGACCTACCAAGAGTGGTCCAAGGAAGGAAAACCGGTGAACAGGCAACAGCCCAGATAGCAAGCAATTGTGCTGCAAGTTTGAAAATGACTTGCTAAACTATTGCAGACTTGCCAAGCTTCACAATTTTGTTGCACGATTACAGCTTCTGCAAATATTAATCTGTCTCCATAACGTTAGCCTAGTTGATGAGAAGCCAAAGTTAAACAGAATATTTTTGGGAAACAGACACCTTTCCACTGAGCCATTGATGGCAGTAAATGAACAAACAGCACCTTTGGTTGCAAAACAGACTTGAGCATACAGTAGTGAAAAACACTGGATCTTTGTACCAAAGTCCGTAACTCACTCATCAAAATCCACCAAGTACTCATACACCTCAGGCTGGTGTCACATAGTCACACATTGGTCAACAATATTTCACCGCAATCCCAGTAAACATAAAACACAACAGGTTTTTCAATTTATTATACACATTTCACAATAATTTTCTTTTTTCCAATGTTAAAACTCTGTCTTCTCTCTACGCACGTTTTATAAAATATCTGTTTTGCTTTTTACAAAAAAAAAAAGGAAATGTTGTACTGGACATTACACACAGAGGCTCCTCCAGAATTCCAGAAGAATATTGCAACTTCCATTTAAATAAAAATAGAACAAATTGGTAATCCAAATTATTTTAATAACATTAACTTTTTAATTCATATAAATAGGTGAACGGAAACGTCATGCGCTGCACGGTCCCCGGGGAGCAAGTGAGGGCAACGGAAGCATACTGTCTCAGTTCTACTATGGGAGGCAATAGGGTTCAATCACACAGACTCAGGTGCAGCTGGAAATGCAGGGGAAATCAGGGTTATGGTGGATTGTCTGATTATGTTTACAGATAACCTGTCCACATTAGGATAGTCCTCACCCTGTTAGAGATATAGCCATAGGAGGCCCCACTGCAGATTTGATAATATTAAGTTGTAACAAAGCAAGACATTTAAAAAAAATTAATGCTGTCAATGACAGCATAAATGTCACAAGACTACTCACAAATATCAAGCACAGAAAACATGGCTGTTAAGCAGGGGCATAACTACTGAAAGCACAGACAGTGAACCTGCACTGGGACCTGTAACGTTAAAGGGACCCATTTATGATCTCTGCATTGGGGACCTCTGCTGTCTGGGTCTGGAATTGCAGCTATAACAAATCCACAGTGTGCCCCAGTGGTCTAATAAGAAACATAACAGGGCTTCCCAAGCCTTGCCCAACAGTACCAATATCTTGCTGGCATACCAGAATAAGCACTCATCTGCTGCAGATTATCAATTAAAGTAACATATTATATAAAATGATAAGACAATGACATACCCAACTGACACTTTTTCATGTCTTGAAAACCACAAGGAAGGTCAATGCTTTGCAGAAAAAAGATGCTCATTTAAGCTAAACATATGATAGAAGATCAATTTTGCTTAAATAAGTGCATTGATACTTAAGTGCAGTATTAGTATATAAGGTGTGTGCAAATATTCCAGAGCATACTAAATTTATGAAGTGAACTTTTTTCCACAAGCAGCATATGACCATAATTAAGCTTGATTATTTTATCTATGGCAGTGATGCTCAATCGTTTTTGAAGTTGGAACCTCAAGAGTCTACAGACCATTTCTTGGAGACCCCAGTATTTTAGTTTGCCCTTGCTCCATGACCACTAACGGGGTACTTCTAGGTACAATACCCCAGTTGGGGTTCCAACCCACAGGCTGCACACCTCTGAACTGTGGTATCAAAATTCCTTTTAGTCAAGCAAAGTCTTGATTAGAAGCCTAAATCTATGGTATGCATTTCCTTGGTATACATACCCCCTGATATTTTACAGTCCTAAATGGCAACATTTTAATCCATGCCTATAATGCAGAGACTGACCATATTTTTATTCATTATTATTGGCAATGTCCTGCCGAATTGGGACTGTTGGGAGGTATGGGCCTGCCCATGCAGATCTCTGACAAACACTCTTAGCAAAGGTTTACTTAAAAAGTGACATCAGTAAACTCTGGGTGATGAGTGCGGTGGGAGAGGGCTATGCATTATTGCATATTGTAACATATATGTGAAACAATATACAAAAAGTACTTTATATGAGTTTGCATTCCAATCAAAAGCATGTGTGGACAGACCCTGTTTTGTCAATCTCTCACCCACCCCACCCCTTTGTCCTCTCACATTTGAGATACATTCAGCAATTGTTCACAATTTTTTCTCTTTTATTCAAGGTCCTTGATGTGCAATGTATTTGTAACGTTTAATATATTTATATTACTTCATTCAATTCGGCCAGCCTGGAGTTTAAATAATAAAAATATCACATCATTATCACATTATATTTAAAACACTAGGAAAATAGTCTTTGTGGCTTCACAAAGCCTTTTGTTTATCCAATCATCTTTTTTTCCACCCTCTATTATGAAAGGCACAACAGGGTTCCTGATAAAGGCACTTCTTTGACCATTAGTAAAAATGCTTAAACCTAATTTGCTTTGGTGCTTTTTTTATATACAACTTGGCTTTTTCTTCAATATAAACTCCTTACATGACAAAACAAAAACAAATTGACATTGTTAATATAAATGTTCTTTACAATATTTTTTTTGTCCGTTTCCTTTTAATGGGTGTTTTGTTGTGCAGTTTTGCCAGTGGATTTCGGTGGTCTTCTGGGGTTTCTCTTGTGTCTGTAAGTGGAAGCTGCAGGGAATTAAATGCAGAGAGAAAAGGTTTTATGGAGTTATGGTTTGCTGCATTAAAACTGGTCACTGAAAATCATTATTAGGATAATTAATGTAAAACACATTTTTAGCATGTTCTATAAATAACACAGGTTAATTCAAGGAAAATGTTTATTTGATTAATTCCTCTGATTTTTTTTTTTGTAATATTTGTGCTGCCATTGCTAGTCTCACCTTTTGAAAATACTATTTGTCTGGCTGACATGGTGATTTAGAGCCTTCTTTCCAAACTTAGGTTGCAAATGTGGCCGGTAAAAATGTAATTAATGGAAAACAGATATTAAGTCTGGTATTTTCTCCCAGAAGATGGCAAACTTAATTCTGACTTCACTTTTAGATCACTTGTCTCATGCTTGTTTGGTGCCAGTGACTTAATCAATAGTTGGGTACTTGAATACATTTTTAAGATTTAACTCCTGAGTAGTTGCATCACAGGCACAGTCATGTGCCTTCCTGTTGTGGATCGATCAGAAACAAAAATGCGGATGGATACGAAATCTGAATAATGAACCGTATCGAATTTCGGATTACGAAATCCGAAAAAAAAATTGTTTTTAAATCCGAATCGATCCAAAACGGAACAAATTTTGTGTGGGGTTACATGTCTAGTTTCTAGTACTGAAGGGTTCTTGCACATCTTTATCTTTTAATGCTCAGGGATCACCACTCCCTCTCTAATCTCTTTTGCAGCATCCTCCCCCTTCACTGGCTATATGATACAGCCTGTACAGTCTCATCCTCACTGGTTTATTCATTGAGTATGGCTTTCTTTCTTTCCTGGCTCTGTGGTGTGGGGTGTGGGATGTGTGCTGTCATCTGCACTATTCCAATCCTCAACTGTGTCTCCTTCTGCCCACAAGAGGGAGGAACAGCATATGTGACCCAGAGTTTCACCAGTGCCCCCTTTACACCTATTCAGACCTATATTTTGTTAAACTTTAGAGCTGTAGTGATTCATCTCAATACTCAATCCACTTTGCACTGTACAATTGCTCATGCACTTTTTCCACGCCCCCTGTCTTCCCATTTGTGACCATTCTCCACTTCCATGCATGCCTGCAGTCTTCTCTCACCATTTTTCTTAAATTCCATATATGCCTGTTCTTTTATGCTGCGATAATTCTCATTTCTTTTCAAGTCCCCTCTCATCCTTCTCCTGCTCTGCCCATGTCCACTCTATTTTCCCTTTGTGAACTTTCTTCTCTATTTCCTTCATGAATAGATCAGTTATATAATACAGAGATACACGCATACTATACTCTTTACATTAAAAAAGAAACACTAAAAATAACGCCACACAATATTAAATGTGCCCTCTCCCAAAGTTACATAAAGGAGCGCAACCTTGCTAGTATTAATAATTTCAATGTACTGCAAGTGCCACCCTCTGCGTCTCCTCAGTCTGTTACTCTTTAGACACTTAATACAGTCTAGCAGGCCATGGCAAACTGCCCATGCTTTAGTGCCTGCTATGTTAATTGGTTTATGATGAATCAAGAAATTACAGGGCTTGTTGTGCAATTAAGTCACTTGCAACCTGAATACACAGTACTGCTGCTTCAAATCATCCTTTATACAAAACTAGCCCAAAAAGTACATGTGGGACACTGGGGCGAAAAGATCTGGTAGTTTGTGAATAATAAGAAAACTTGCATGAACTCGGTTCCCCCCGCCGCTGACAAAATAAGAGTGATTAATTAGCTTTCCTTTTACCATGCTGTTGATGGACTCAACCTATGGTTTCTTTAGATTTAAATATAATACCATGACAGCCTAAAATTAAAAGACCATATGAATATTTTGTAAATAAATGCACTTAATAGCTATGTACAATATCGAAGGAATGTGTAATATGCATTGTGCAAATATATAAATAACAGTGTTTGGCGCTGATTTACACAGACTACCATTTAGCAGAAATAATAACTGCATCATTAGGATCTGTACCAGAACTGTGAATTAGCGGGTTTCACTGTGCTAATTAAGTTTGTGGACACACATGTGTTTGCAAAAGATGTAGACATATGCATGCTGTCAGACATCAGTATACAGTGGAGAACAATGGATAGGTGTGGAAAGCATAATATCAATATTAAAAACTTACGATTTATGCACTGTATCCGTGGTTCTTCCCATTGCCCACTTGATAGGCATCGGATTATAGGAACATGACGCTGTAAGTACCCTTGGTTACACTGGTACCGGACTAATGAGCTGATTTCATACCGGTCTTTCGTTCTTCCTAGTGTGTATGCATTCTCTACTACTGGAGGATCTCCACAAGCCACTAGAATAGAAGATTGACCATTTAAAGTGGAACACAAGTTAACTTTTTTTTAAGTTTTCCCCACCCTGTGTTAAAATAAATAAACTCCAAGTATTTACCTACCCTCCCCTTGCTCCTGTGAACCCAGCCTGTTGTTTATATGCTCCCCTGGAACAGGGCCGTAGATATTTTTTTTCCTGGGGGGGGGGTTCAGCTTCCTCAAATTATAAGATTTTATGTAGCAGACACACCAAGGTTTGAAGAAAATATACCGGCCATATCATTCCTAAACCAATCCTTTACCCTGAGCAATACCGATTTTGTTGTTCGACACCATATGGATAAAAACCATGTTTTCAAAAGACTTATAATTGGTACCTACCAATTCACACAAACCACTTAGTATACACTTATTGGGATTTTTTTTTTACCAAAAATATTTAGCAGAATACATTTTGGCCTAATTTTAGGAAGACATTTTATTTTATTTGATATTTTGTATAAAAAAAAGTTGAAAATATTTATTTCCACAATTTTTTGTCTTTTTTCATTTATATACATTTTTTTAATAAAAACCAGCAGCGATCAAATAGCACCAAAAGAAAGCTCTACTTGGGTAAACGTGCATGGCCGTATTGGGCAGCTCCCAGGAAGGACAGGTGTTGCGTGTGATTAGTACGCAGCCCCTGTCCTTCTCTATGGGAGTACATGACCATACGCCGCCCTACGCCCACCCTAAGTGCAGGTCCGTATGGGTACAGGTGTCCCATCTTGGAAGCAGACATTATCCATCCTGTCAGCGTACGAGTACCCGCACAGACATGCAGGGTGGGTGAGCGCAGGGCGGCATACGGCCACGTACTCGGGAGCTGCCCGATACGGCCGTGCACGCAGCATGGAGCTGAAACATAGCGGCTGAGCCGAGTCCGGCCCGAACACAATCAAGGAGATTGTGTTAGTACGAGCAAGTGCCCGGTATGCCCCATGGCCAGTCCGGCCTGGCCAGGACCCTCTGGGGGGGGGGTTTGGACCCCCCTATCCCCCCTTATCTACGCCCCTGCCCTGGAAGTGAGTCAGTATGCAGACTTGGCTCACAGCACTCCAGGACTGAGCAGCGCTCACATGTCATTATGTAAATGCTGCTCAGAGCAGGAGGAATGCCTGCCCCCCCTCCCCAACATCCCATCCCATCCCAAAACTATAGACATAAATATGGAGTCATCCCCCCCTTCTTTGTGGCTATAACAGCCTCCACTCTTAAAGGAAGGCTTTCTACAAGACTTTGGAGTGTATATGTGGGAAATTGCAAGAACATTTGTGAGGTCAGGTGCTGATGTTGGACGAGAAGACCTGCCTCTCAATTGCCATTCAAGTTCATCCTGCAGATGTTCTATAGGCTCTGTGCAGGCCACTTGAGTTGCGCCACACTAAACGTATCAAACCATGTTTTTATACATCTGGCTTTATGCATTGGGTACTGCCATGCTGAAACAGAAAAGGGCCTTTCCTAACCTATTGCTGCGAGGTTGGAAGCTCACAATTGTCTAAAATACCCTCTGCACTGGAAACAACTATACCCAATACTTTGGAGGGGTGTCCGCATACTTTTGGTCATATAATATATGCACGATGGTCAGGTGTCCACAAACGTTTGGCCATATACACTCCCCGGCCACTTTATTAGGTACACCTGTTCAATTGCTTAGTAACACAGATTGCTAATCAGACAATCACATGGCAGCAACTCAATGCATTTAGGCATCTAGATGTGGTGAAGGCGACTTGCTGAAGTTCAAACCGAGCATCAGAATGGGGAAGAAAGGTGATTTAAGTGACTTTGAACATTGCATGGTTGTTGGTGCCAGACGGGCTGGTCTGAGTATTGCAAAAACTGCTGATCTACTGGGATTTTCATACACAACCATCTCTAGGGTTTACAGATAATGGTCAGAAAAAGAGAAAATATCCAGTGAGTGGCAGTTGTGTGGACGAAAATGCCTTGTTGATGTCAGAGTTCAGAGTAGAATGGGCAGACTGGTTTGAGATGATAGAAAGGCAACAGGAACTCAAACAACCACTCATTACATCCAAGGTATGCAGAATACCATCTGTGAACACACAACACATCAAAGCTTGAAGCAGATGGGCTACTGCAATTGAAGATCACACCGGGTGCCACTCCTGTCAGCTAAGAACAGGAAACGGAGGCTACAATTTGCACAGGCTCACCAAAATTGCAGAATACAGTAGAAGATTGGAAAAATGTCGCCTGGTCTGATGAGTCTCGATTTAAGCTGCAACATTCACATAGTAGGGTCAGAATTTGGCATAAACAACATGAAAGCATGGATCCATCCTGCCTTGTATCAACAGTTCAGGCTGGTGGTGGTGGTGGTGTAATGGTGTGGGGGATATTTTCTTTGCACACCTTGGGCCCATGATGCTATCTTGTCAAAATGGACCAAAATCCCTGAGGATTGTTTCCAACCCATCCTGGTACTAGCAAGGTGCACCTAATAAAGTGGCCGGTGAGTGTAGTGTATCACTGGTTTTATTAAAGGCCCTCTCCATTCCAAATGCCCTATTATAATTTAGAAGGAGGGCGGAAGGGATAGAGCCTATGTCAAATTGTATTGCCATCTCTGTCCTTATTGAGGAATTTTTCTTAATTTCTGATCAAGACAGAAAATATTGGCTCCAAAGAAGCCTCCTGAGTAAGGAACCGCTAGTACTTCCGACAATACTTTTATTGTCTCCATTTCCTGAAAAGGAATTACTGGGGTCACAGACTAGACATGTGCGCTTTGTTTTGTTCTGAAATTAAATTTGGACGAATCTCAGCATATTCGGACATTTGGCTGCATCCAAATTTCCGAATGAAAGAAATAACGAATCTGAAAGCATCCAAAAAAATGTTTCCGAATGTCATTTGGAATTAATTTATGTTGTTAAATGTTAAAGTAATAATAATAATAATAATAATTAAAAAAAGCATGGAGTGCTCTCCCCAGTGCTCAGACCCTTTAGGTCTGGTAGAAATTTTAGGGGGGATCCCAACTCCAAAAAAAAAGACCCTTGATCCGTGCAGCAGCTTGGCAGAGCAGGAAAAGGGGGCATGAGCGTGCACCCCACCTGCCCCATACTAGGCCACATTCCCTCAACATAGGGAGGGTACTTTGCCAGGTGGGCATCCTCTTACAAAGCACCTTGTCCCAATGTTAATTAGGAAAAGCCTCTTCCCCACAACCCTGGCCCGGCGTTTGTGGGGATCTGCGGGCAGGGGGGCTTATAGGAATATGGGTGCCCCCTTTCACTTAGGGGGCACCCAGATGCCGCCCCCCTCGCAAATGAGTAAGGGATAGTTGTTACCCCTACTTATTTACCAAATAACAGTAAAATAGTAAAGAAACACCCCACACCGTGGTACAAAGTCCTTCAAATGAAAAAAAAAACACAACACAGTTTTTGACTGTGTTGTGTTTTTTTTCAAATAAAATACTTTTTTTTTTACACTGTGGTATGTTTATTTACTATTTTACTGTATTTGGTGAATGAATAGGGGTAGCAACTACCCCTTACACATTCATGAGGGGGATAGGCGGCATCTGGGTTCCCCCTGCACAAAATTTACCTCTTCTACACTCAATGTGAAAGTAAAAATTTTTGCTGGAGTTAGCCTTTAACATTTGTTTAATGCATACAGAAATGTGCCAACCGATTAAATACTGTGGAGTTTCCATAACAATTTATATTCTATAGGTATCACAGCTCTGATTCATGAGCATCATTGTCAGTTCAGAGGTATAAAAACACAGCATGTACACATGCACAAACACACTATTGATTCCAGCCCATTTGATTAAAAATGGCATTAGAAATAAATCAGAGTGATGTTTCCAATGTTCTCTAGAACTGTAAATAATGTCTATAAAATAAAGGACCACAAGCAGTAGCTTGCCATGAACATCAAGTTTTTGGCAAAACTACACGTTGCTAAGCTAATGAGCATTCCAACAGCTTCAGGTCGTTTTGCCACCCATGTAAGATAATAATCAACAATTATTAGACTGTCACAGATCTTGTGGTGCTTTATAAGTAACGATGGGCTTGATTAAAGATTTTGTAAATACCTATACAATGCCTTCTGATTACCTTTCACAGAATGTTCTGGTCCGCATATTTGTACACTAGGCCTTGCTTTGCCAAATCTCCGGTGCTTAGCAACAACACAGAAGTAGACTTTCTTTTAGCAAAGCAAGTTGTTTCTTTTGAAAGTGACACAAGGCTCCCCTCTTTGTCAGAAGTTGTATAAAGAGAAGCATGGGAAGAGGGAAAAGAGAAGCACGGGAAGTCAAAAAGGAATTACTGCTGTCCTAGGAAGGTTAGGTTAGAGGAATATTTCACTGCCTCCTAATATAGTGTTTGCAAAATTGGGATTTTTTCCCCCCTTCAAATCTTCTGCTGGAAAGGTATCATTCAAGGCTAATGCTGGCCATGTACACATGCCTTTGTCAACAATGTTAACCAAATTTTGAGAGCAAAAAGGATCATACAGATGAGAGCAACTTACTATCAACAGGCATTGATGTTAGTAATCTGCAGTGGTAAATTACATTTTTTGTTTTGCTAATGAAAAGTAGTTGAATTTGCTAGAAACTCTGCTGTTGTGCAAACATTTTACAATATAAAGGGAAGACAGTACAGCTAAAATATAAATCAAGACAAGAGGGTTAGGAGGGCTCTGTTTTTGAGCACTCTAAAAGGGTGGGGCAAGTGTAATAAAAAGTGTAATAACTCTGTAGGGACGATCTGACTTGAGTTGCAGCGGGATAGGCTTCCCTAAAGAGAGGCATCTATGGGTAATTGTCTAAAGGCGGGCAGAGTAGGAAAAAAAAAAAAAAGGTTGCAGATGGAAATCAAAAGATGGAGGGGGAGCCGGGAGTAGGGCTTTCAAAGAGGACTATGGCACAACCTTTTTTTTGCCATAGTTCTCTTTAGGGTGACAGGAGGACATTTACTAATGTTCTCCTGTGACCCAAACTTTCCTGGCTGACAGCGCAGAGCTGCGCTGTGGCCAGGAAAGAAATGCCGACAATATTGTCAGGAACCAGCCTGAATGCCTGACTGACAGCTGGCTCTGCCTGTCTGTCCCTCCAGTCAGAACTGGAGGAACAGAGGGGGGG